GTCTATGGGTCTCAGTGCTGAGTCTATGAGTCTGTGGGTCTCAGTGCTGAGTCTATGAGTCTGTGGGTCTCAGTGCTGAGTCTATGAGTCTGTGGGTCTCAGTGCTGAGTCTATGAGTCTGTGGGTCTCAGTGCTGAGTCTATGAGGTCTGTGGTCTCAGTGCTGAGTCTATGAGTCCTGTGGGTCTCAGTGCTGAGTCTATGAGTCCTGTGGGTCTCAGTGCTGAGTCTATGAGTCTGTGGGGTCTCAGTGCTGAGTCTATGGTGCAGTGCTGAGTCCTATGGTGCAGTGCTGAGTCTATGGGCAGTGGTTGAGTCTATGGGTCTAAGTGTTGAGTCTATGGTGCAGTGCTGAGTCTATGAGTCTGTGGGTCTCAGTGCTGAGTCTCTGAGTCTATGGTGCAGTGCTGAGTCTGTGGGTCTGTGGGTCTCAGTGCTGAGTCTATGAGTCTGTGGGTCTCAGTGCTGAGTCTATGAGTCTGTGGGTCTCAGTGCTGAGTCTATGAGTCTGTGGGTCTCAGTGCTGAGTCTATGGGTCTATGGGTCTCAGTGCTGAGTCTATGAGTCTGTGGGTCTCAGTGCTGAGTCTATGAGTCCTGTGGGTCTCAGTGCTGAGTCAATGAGTCTGTGGGTCTCAGTGCTGAGTCTATGAGTCTGTGGGTCTCAGTGCTGAGTCTATGAGTCTGTGGGTCTCAGTGCTGAGTCTACGAGTCTGTGGGTCTCAGTGCTGAGTCTGTGGGTCTCAGTGCTGAGTCTATGAGTCTGTGGGTCTCAGTGCTGAGTCTATGAGTCTGTGGGTCTCAGTGCTGAGTCTATGGTGCAGTGCTGAGTCTATGAGTCTGTGGGTCTCAGTGCTGAGTCTCTGAGTCTATGGTGCAGTGCTGAGTCTGTGGGTCTGTGGGTCTCAGTGCTGAGTCTATGAGTCTGTGAGTCTCAGTGCTGAGTCTATGAGTCTGTGGGTCTCAGTGCTGAGTCTATGAGTCTGTGGGTCTCAGTGCTGAGTCTATGAGTCTGTGGGTCTCAGTGCTGAGTCTATGAGTCTGTGGGTCTCAGTGCTGAGTCTATGAGTCTGTGGGTCTCAGTGCTGAGTCTATGATGCAGTGCTGAGTCTATGGTGCAGTTGCTGAGTCTATGAGTCTGTGGGTCTCAGTGCTGAGTCTATGAGTCTGTGGGTCTCAGTGCTGAGTCTATGAGTCTGTGGGTCTCAGTGCTGAGTCTATGAGTCTGTGGGTCTCAGTGCTGAGTCTATGGTGCAGTGCTGAGTCTATGGTGCAGTGCTGAGTCTATGGGCAGTGTTGAGTCTATGGGTCTAAGTGTTGAGTCTATGGTGCAGTGCTGAGTCTATGAGTCTGTGGGTCTCAGTGCTGAGTCTCTGAGTCTATGGTGCAGTGCTGAGTCTGTGGGTCTTGTGGGTCTCAGTGCTGAGTCTATGAGTCTGTGAGTCTCAGTGCTGAGTCTATGAGTCTGTGGGTCTCAGTGCTGAGTCTATGGTGCAGTGCTGAGTCTATGAGTCTATGGGTCTCAGTGCTGAGTCTATGGGTCTATGGGTCTCAGTGCTGAGTCTATGAGTCTGTGGGTCTCAGTGCTGAGTCTATGAGTCTGTGGGTCTCAGTGGCTGAGTCTATGAGGTCTGTGGGTCTCAGTGCTGAGTCTATGAGTCTGTGGGTTCTCAGTGCTGAGTCTATGAGTCTGTGGGTCTCAGTGCTGAGTCTATGGGTCTATGGGTCTCAGTGCTGAGTCTATGAGTCTTGTGGGTCTCAGTGCTGAGTCTATGAGTCTGTGGTCTCAGTGCTGAGTCTATGAGTCTGTGGGTCTCAGTGCTGAGTCTAGGAGTCTGTGGGTCTCAGTGCTGAGTCTATGAGTCTGTGGGTCTCAGTGCTGAGGTCTACGAGTCTGTGGGTCTCAGTGCTGAGTCTGTGGGTCTCAGTGCTGAGTCTATGAGGTCTGTGGGTCTCAGTGCTGAGTCTATGAGTCTGTGGGTCTCAGTGCTGAGTCTATGGTGCAGTGCTGTAGTCTATGAGTCTGTGGGTCTCAGTGCTGAGTCTGAGTCTATGGTGCAGTGCTGAGTCTGTGGGTCTGTGGGTCTCAGTGCTGAGTCTATGAGTCTGTGAGTCTCAGTGCTGAGTTCTATGAGTCTGTGGGTCTCAGTGCTGAGTCTATGAGTCTATGAGTCTCAGTGCTGAGTCTGTGGGTCTCAGTGCTGAGTCTATGAGTCTGTGGGTCTCAGTGCTGAGTCTGTGGTGCAGTGCTGAGTCTGTGGGTCTCAGTGCTGAGTCTATGAGTCTGTGGGTCTCAGTGCTGAGTCTATGGGGTCTCAGTACTGAGTCTATGGTGCAGTGTTGAGTCTGTGGGTCTCAGTGTTGAGTCCTATGGTGCAGTGCTGAGTCTATGGTGCAGTGCTGAGTCTATGGTGCAGTGCTGAGTCTATGAGACTGTGGGTCTCAGTGCTGAGTCTATGAGTCTATGGGTCTCAGTGCTGAGTCTATGGTGCAGTGCTGAGTCTATGGTGCAGTGCTGAGTCTATGAGTCTATGGGTCTCAGTGCTGAGTCTATGGTGCAGTGCTGAGTCTATGGTGCAGTGCTGAGTCTATGGTGCAGTGCTGAGTCTATGGTGCAGTGTTGAGTCTATGGGTCTAAGTGTTGAGTCTATGGTGCAGTGTTGAGTCTATGGTGCAGTGTTGAGTCTGTGGTGCAGTGCTGAGTCTATGGTGCAGTGCTGAGTCTATGGTGCAGTGCTGAGTCTATGGTGCAGTGCTGAGTCTATGGTGCAGTGTTGAGTCTATGGGTCTAAGTGTTGAGTCTATGGTGCAGTGCTGAGTCTGTGGGTCTCAGTGCTGAGTCTATGGTGCAGTGCCGAGTCTATGAGTCTATGGGTCTCAGTGCTGAGTCTATGGTGCAGTGCTGAGTCTATGGTGCAGTGCTGAGTCTATGGTGCAGTGCTGAGTCTATGGTGCAGTGTTGAGTCTATGGGTCTAAGTGTTGAGTCTATGGTGCAGTGTTGAGTCTATGGTGCAGTGTTGAGTCTGTGGTGCAGTGCTGAGTCTATGGTGCAGTGCTGAGTCTATGGTGCAGTGCTGAGTCTATGGTGCAGTGTTGAGTCTATGGTGCAGTGTTGAGTCTATGGGCAGTGTTGAGTCTATGGTGCAGTGTTGAGTCTATGGGTCTCAGTGTTGAGTCTATGGTGCAGTGATGAGTCTATGGTGCAGTGTTGAGTCTATGGTGCAGTGTTGAGTCTATGGGTCTAAGTGTTGAGTCTATGGTGCAGTGTTGAGTCTGTGGTGCAGTGTTGAGTCTGTGGTGCAGTGCTGAGTCTATGGTGCAGTGCTGAGTCTATGGTGCAGTGCTGAGTCTATGGTGCAGTGTTGAGTCTATGGTGCAGTGTTGAGTCTATGGGCAGTGTTGAGTCTATGGTGCAGTGTTGAGTCTATGGTGCAGTGTTGAGTCTATGGTGCAGTGTTGAGTCTATGGTTAACAGTGTTGAGTCTATGGTTAACAGTGTTGAGTCTATGGTTAACAGTGTTGAGTCTATGGTTAACAGTGTTGAGTCTATGGTTAACAGTGTTGAGTCTATGGTTAACAGTGTTGAGTCTATGGTGCAGTGTTGATTCTATGGTGCAGTGCTGAGTCTATGAGTCTATGGTGCAGTGCTGAGTCTATGAGTCTGTGGGTCTCAGTGCTGAGTCTGTGGGTCTCAGTGCTGAGTCTATGAGTCTGTGGGTCTCAGTGCTGAGTCTATGAGTCTATGGGTCTCAGTGCTGAGTCTATGAGTCTGTGGGTCTCAGTGTTGAGTCTATGGTGCAGTGCTGAGTCTATGGTGCAGTGCTGAGTCTATGGTGCAGTGCTGAGTCTATGAGTCTGTGGGTCTCAGTGCTGAGTCTATGAGTCTGTGGGTCTCAGTGTTGAGTCTATGGTGCAGTGCTGAGTCTATGAGTCTATGGTGCAGTGCTGAGTCTATGGGTCTCAGTGCTGAGTCTCTGAGTCTGTGGGTCTCAGTGCTGAGTCTATGAGTCTGTGGGTCTCAGTGCTGAGTCTATGAGTCTGGGTCTCAGTGCTGAGTCTATGAGTCTGTGGGTCTCAGTGCTGAGTCTATGAGTCTGTGGGTCTCAGTGCTGAGTCTATGAGTCTGTGGGTCTTAGTGCTGAGTCTATGAGTCTGTGGGTCTCAGTGCTGAGTCTATGAGTCTATGGGTCTCAGTGCTGAGTCTATGAGTCTGTGGGTCTCAGTGTTGAGTCTATGGTGCAGTGCTGAGTCTATGGTGCAGTGCTGAGTCTATGGTGCAGTGCTGAGTCTATGAGTCTGTGGGTCTCAGTGCTGAGTCTATGAGTCTGTGGGTCTCAGTGTTGAGTCTATGGTGCAGTGCTGAGTCTATGAGTCTGGGGCCTCAGTGCTGAGTCTATGGTTAACAGTGCTGAGTCTATGAGTCTGTGGGCCTCAGTGCTGAGTCTATGGTGCAGTGCTGAGTCTATGAGTCTGTGGGTCTCAGTGCTGAGTCTATGGTGCAGTGCTGAGTCTATGGGTCTCAGTGCTGAGTCTATGATTCTATGGGTCTCAGTGCTGAGTCTATGAGTCTATGGTGCAGTGCTGAGTCTATGGTGCAGTGCTGAGTCTATGGGTCTCAGTGCTGAGTCTGTGGGTCTCAGTGCTGAGTCTATGGTGCAATGTTGAGTCTGTGGGTCTCAGTGCTGAGTCTGTGGGTCTCAGTGCTGAGTCTGTGAGTCTGTGGGTCTCAGTGCTGAGTCTATGGGTCTCAGTGCTGAGTCTATGGTGCAGTGCTGAGTCTATGGTGCAGTGCTGAGTCTATGAGTCTGTGGGCCTCAGTGCTGAGTCTATGAGTCTGTGGGTCTCAGTGCTGAGTCTATGAGTCTATGGTGTAGTGCTGAGTCTATGGGTCTCAGTGTTGAGTCTATGGTTAACAGTGCTGAGTCTATGGGTCTGTGGGTCTCAGTGCTGAGTCTCCCCACCACCACCACCACCACCACCACCCACCCACCCCCCACCCACCTGAGGCACGACCCCCAGGGCGTCCCGCAGGCTGAGCAGGGTCACGTCGCGAGTCTCCTGACCCCCAACCAGGATGCTTCCGCTCTGAGGCTCGTAGAAGCGGCACAGGAGACGCACCACTGTGCTCTTGCTGGGGGTGGTGGGTGGGCGGGCGTGGTGGGGGGAAATGGTGGGGGGGTGGTGGTGGGGGGGGTGGTGGGGGGGTTATTTATAATTCCATTTTACAGTTCCACGGATTTTGGCAGAGCCCCTGTGAGCTCTTGAGTGCAGCTGCAAACCGCGACCAGCAAACCAACAACAAAGACGGACAGGGGGGAAAAAGGGGGCGTCTCAAAAGTGACCCCGTGTGTGTGTGTGTACGTGTGTGTGTGTGTCTGTGTGTGTGTGTCTGTGTGTGTCTGTGCGCGTGTGTGTGCGTGTGCGTGTGTGTGCGTGTGTGTGTGTGCGTGTCTGTGTGTGTGTGTGCGCGTGTCTGTGTGTGTGTGTGTGCGCGTGTGCGTGTGTGTCTGTGTGTGTCTGTGTGTGTATGTGTGTGTCTGTGTGTGTGCGTGTGTCTGTGTGCGTGTGTGTGTGCGTGTGTGTCTGTGCGTGTGTGTGTCTGTGTGTGCGTGTGTGTGTCTGTGTGTGTCTGTGTGTGTATGTGTGTGTGTCTGTGTGTGTGTCTCTGTGTGTGTGTGTCTGTGTGTGTGTCTCTGTTGGTGTCTGTGTGTGTGTGCGTGTGTGTGTGTGTCTGTGTGTGTGTGTCAGTGTGTGTGTGTCTCTGTTGGTGTCTGTGTGTGTCTGTGTGAGTGTGTGCGTGTGTGTGTGTGTGTGGTGTGTGTCTGTGTGTGTGTGTGACTCCTGTGCAAAACAGAAAATCCACGACGGGGAGGAGAAAACATAAATAAACCGGCAGAAATATTCCTGAAAAAAAGCGCCGGACAGCAGCAACAAAAACTTAATAAATTAATAAATTAATAATAAAATAACACGGCAAAATTCTCAACGACGTTTCGGCCACAACGCAAGCAGCCCTCATCAGGTGAAGGGACGAGACGAGACACGTCTCCCCGTGTCTCCCCGTGTCTCCCTCATGTCTCCCTCACGTCTCCCCGTGTCTCCCCGTGTCTCCCCCGTGTCTCCCTCACGTCTCCCTCACGTCCCCGTGTCTCCCCGTGTCTCCCCCGTGTCTCCCTCACGTCTCCCCTGTCTCCCTCATGTCTCCCTCACGTCTCCCCGTGTCTCCCGTGTCTCCCTCGTGTCTCCCCGTGTCTCCCCGTGTCTCCCTCATGTCTCTCCGTGTCTCCCCGTGTCTCCCCGTGTCTCCCCGTGTCTCCCCCGTGTCTCCCTCACGTCTCCCCGTGTCTCCCTCGTGTCTCCCCGTGTCTCCCTCGTGTCTCCCCGTGTCTCCCTCACGTCTCCCCGTGTCTCCCCGTGTCTCCCCCGTGTCTCCCTCACGTCTCCCCCTGTCTCCCTCATGTCTCCCTCACGTCTCCCCGTGTCTCCCCGTGTCTCCCCCGTGTCTCCCTCGTGTCTCCCCGTGTCTCCCCCGTGTCTCCCTCGTGTCTCCCTCACGTCTCCCCGTGTCTCCCCGTGTCTCCCTCATGTCTCCCTCACGTCTCCCCGTGTCTCCCCGTGCTCCCCCGTGTCTCCCTCACGTCTCCCTCACGTCTCCCCGTGTCTCCCCGTGTCTCCCCCGTGTCTCCCTCACGTCCCCCTGTCTCCCTCATGTCTCCCTCACGTCTCCCCGTGTCTCCCCGTGTCTCCCTCGTGTCTCCCCGTGTCTCCCCGTGTCTCCCTCATGTCTCTCCGTGTCTCCCCGTGTCTCCCCGTGTCTCCCCGTGTCTCCCCCGTGTCTCCCTCACGTCTCCCCGTGTCTCCCTCGTGTCTCCCCGTGTCTCCCTCGTGTCTCCCCGTGTCTCCCTCACGTCTCCCCGTGTCTCCCCGTGTCTCCCCCGTGTCTCCCTCACGTCTCCCCCTGTCTCCCTCATGTCTCCCTCACGTCTCCCCGTGTCTCCCCGTGTCTCCCCCGTGTCTCCCTCGTGTCTCCCCGTGTCTCCCCCGTGTCTCCCTCGTGTCTCCCCGTGTCTCCCCCACGTCTCCCCGTGTCTCCCGTGTCTCCCCGTGTCTCCCCGTGTCTCCCCGTGTCTCCCTCATGTCTCCCCGTGTCTCCTCACGTCTCCCCGTGTCTCCCTCATGTCTCTCCGTGTCTCCCCGTGTCTCCCCGTGTCTCCCCCGTGTCTCCCTCACGTCTCCCCGTGTCTCCCTCGTGTCTCCCCGTGTCTCCCTCGTGTCCCCGTGTCTCCCTCACGTCTCCCCGTGTCTCCCCGTGTCTCCCCCGTGTCTCCCTCACGTCTCCCCCTGTCTCCCTCATGTCTCCCTCACGTCTCCCCGTGTCTCCCCCGTGTCTCCCTCGTGTCTCCCCGTGTCTCCCCCACGTCTCCCCGTGTCTCCCCGTGTCTCCCCGTGTCTCCCCGTGTCTCCCTAATGTCTCCCCCATGTCTCTCTCATGTCCCCCTCATGTCTCCCCGTGTCTCCCCGTGTCTCCCCGTGTCTCCCGCCTCCCCCCCCGTGTCTCCCTCACGTCTCCCCGTGTCTCCCTCACGTCTCCCCGTGTCTCCCTCACGTCTCCCCGTGTCTCCCTCACGTCTCCGTGTCTCCCTCACGTCTCCCCGTGTCTCCCTCACGTCTCCGTGTCTCCGTTACCTCTCCCCGTGTCTCCCCGTGTCTCCCCCGTGTCTCCCTCACGTCTCCCCGTGTCTCCGTCACCTCTCCCCGTGTCTCCCTCGTGTCTCCCCGTGTCTCCCTCACGTCTCCCCGTGTCTCCCTCACGTCTCCCCGTGTCTCCGTCACCTCTCCCCGTGTCTCCCTCACCTCTCTCCATGTCTTCCCTCACGTCTCCCCGTGTCTCCATCCTCCCCCCCCGTGTCTCCCTCACGTCTCCCCGTGTCTCCGTCACCTCTCCCCGTGTCTCCCCGTGTCTCCCCGTGTCTCCCTCACCCCCCCCGTGTCTCCCTCACGTCTCCCCGTGTCTCCCTCACCCCCCCCGTGTCTCCCCGTGTCCCCCCCCCCCCATCCCCCCACCCCCCCCCCCGGCTCACCCAGATCCACTGCCCCCCACCAGGGCCACCTTTGTCCCGGGTGGATGTGGAAGGAAACTCCTCGCAGCACCTCGTGGCCGGGCACCTTCCCGTAGGAGAAGTGGACGTCGCGGAAGGTGATGGCCGTCTGGGGGGTCAACAGCAGCCGGGGCAGCCTGGGGCGTCCTGGGGGGGGTAGAGATGGAGAGGGTCACTCACTCAGTCACTCACTCAGTCACTCACTCAGCCACTCACTCAGCCAGCCACTCACTCACTCACCCAGCCAGCCACTCACTCAGCCAGCCACTCAGCACTCACCCACTCACTCACCCACCCACCCACTCACTCAGCCAGCCACTCACTCAGCCAGCCACTCACTCAGTCACTTACTCACTCACCCAGCCACTCACTCACCCAGCCACTCACTCACCCAGCCACTCACTCACTCACTCACCCAGCCACTCACTCACTCAGTCACTCACTCAGCCACTCACTCACTCAGCCACTCACTCACTCAGCCAGCCACTCACTCAGCCACTCACTCACTCAGCAGCCACTCACTCAGCCAGCCAGCCATTCACTCAGCCAGCCACTCACTCAGCCACTCACTCAGCCACTCACTCACCAACCCAGCCACTCACTCACTCACCCACCCTCTCACTCACCCACCCACCCCACCCACCCACCCACCGTCTCACTCACCCACCCACTCACCCACCCACCCACTCACCCACCCACCCACCCACTCACCACCCACCCACCCCCACTCACCCACCCACCCACCCACTCACCCACCCACTCACCCACCCACCCACCCACTCACCCACCCACCCACCCACTCACCCACCCTCTCACCCAGTCATTCACCCACACACTCACCCACCCACCCACCCTCCCACTCACCCACCCACCCTCCCACCCACCCTCCCACCCACCCACTCACCCACCCACCCACTCACCCACCCACCCACCGTGATTTTGCTCTCCAAGCTGAGGAGAGAGAAGAGGGCGTCCATGTCAATGAGTGACTGGCGGGTCTCCCGATACACCGTGCCCAGGAAATTGAGAGGCAGGGAGAGCTGGAAGAGGAGGCCATTAACCATCACCAGGTCTCCTACCGTGAGAGAGCCTGGGGGGAGAGAGAGAGACACGGGGTGAGAGAGAGAGACACGGGGTGAGAGAGACATGGGGCAAGAGAGAGACACTGAGAGAGACACGGGGTGAGAGACACGGGGTGAGAGAGACACTGGGAGAGAGAGAGACACGGGGAGAGAGAGACAGAGAGAGAGACACTGAGAGAGAAACACTGAGAGAGAGAGAGACACACGGGGAGAGAGAGACACGGGGAGAGAGAGACACACGGGGAGAGAGAGACACTGAGAGGCAGGGAGAGCTGGAAGAGGAGGCCATTAACCATCACCAGGTCTCCTACCGTGAGAGAGCCTGGGGGAGAGAGAGAGACACGGGGTGAGAGAGAGAGACACGGGGAGAGAGAGACACGGGGAGAGAGAGACACACGGGGAGAGAGAGACACGGGGAGAGAGAGACACGGGGAGAGAGAGACACGGGGTGAGAGAGACACGGGGTGAGAGACACGGGGTGAGAGACACGGGGTGAGAGACACGGGGTGAGAGACACGGGGGGAGAGACACGGGGGGAGAGAGAGAGACACGGGGAGAGAGAGACAGGGGGAGAGAGAGACACTGAGAGGCAGGGAGAGCTGGAAGAGGAGGCCATTAACCATCACCAGGTCTCCTACCGTGAGAGAGCCTGGGGGGAGAGAGAGAGACACGGGGTGAGAGAGAGAGACACGGGGTGAGAGAGACATGGGGCAAGAGAGAGACACTGAGAGAGACACGGGGTGAGAGACACGGGGTGAGAGAGACACTGGGAGAGAGAGAGACACTGAGAGAGAGAGACACTGAGAGAGAGACACACTGAGAGAGAGGACACAGAGAGAGAGACACTGAGAGAGAGAGACACTGAGAGAGAGACACACGGGGAGAGAGAGACACTGAGAGGCAGGGAGAGCTGGAAGAGGAGGCCATTAACCATCACCAGGTCTCCTACCGTGAGAGAGCCTGGGGGGAGAGAGACACGGGGGGAGAGAGAGAGACACAGGGTGAGAGAGACACGGGGTGAGAGACACTGAGAGAGAGAGACACGGGGTGAGAGAGACACTGGGAGAGAGAGAGACACGGGGTGACAGAGACAGAGAGAGACACTGAGAGAGAGAGAGACACTGAGAGAGAGAGAGACACTGAGAGAGAGAGAGACACTGAGAGAGAGAGACACAGAGAGAGAGAGAGACACAGAGAGAGAGAGACACAGAGAGAGAGAGAGACACAGAGAGAGAGAGAGACACAGAGAGAGAGAGAGACACAGAGAGAGAGAGACACAGAGAGAGAGACAGAGACACAGAGAGAGAGACAGAGACACAGAGAGAGAGACAGAGACACTGAGAGAGAGAGAGACACTGAGAGAGAGAGAGACACAGAGAGAGAGAGAGACACTGAGAGAGAGACACTGAGAGAGAGAGACACTGAGAGAGAGAGACACTGAGAGAGAGAGAGACACTGAGAGAGAGAGACACAGAGAGAGAGAGACACAGAGAGAGAGAGAGAGACACTGAGAGAGAGAGAGAGACACTGAGAGAGAGAGAGACACTGAGAGAGAGACACACGGGGAGAGAGAGACACGGGGAGAGAGAGACACGGGGAGAGAGACACGGGGAGAGAGAGAGACACGGGGAGAGAGAGACACTGAGAGGCAGGGGGAGAGCTGGAAGAGGAGGCCATTAACCATCACCAGGTCTCCTACCGTGAGAGAGCCTGGGGGGAGAGAGACACGGGGTGAGAGAGACACGGGGAGAGAGAGACACGGGGTGAGAGAGACACGGGGTGAGAGAGACACGGGGTGAGAGAGACACAGAGAGAAACACTGAGAGAGAGACACCGAGAGAGAGACACACGGGGAGAGAGAGACACACGGGGAGAGAGAGACACGGGGCAAGAGAGAGACACTGAGAGAGAGAGACACTGAGAGAGAGAGACACAGAGAGAGAGAGAGAGACACTGAGAGAGAGAGACACTGAGAGAGAGAGAGACACTGAGAGAGAGAGAGACACTGAGAGAGAGACACACAGAGAGAGAGACACAGAGAGAGAGACACTGAGAGAGAGAGACACTGAGAGAGAGAGACACAGAGAGAGAGACACAGAGAGAGACACTGAGAGAGAGACACTGAGAGAGACACTGAGAGGCAGGGAGAGCTGGAAGAGGAGGCCATTAACCATCACCAGGTCTCCTACTGTGAGAGAGCCTGGGGGGAGAGAGACACGGGGAGAGAGAGACACGGGGTGAGAGACACGGGGAGAGAGAGACACGGTGAGAGAGAGACATGGGGTGAGAGAGAGACACGGGGAGAGAGAGAGACACGGGGTGACAGAGACAGAGAGAGAGAGACAGAGAGAGACACGGGGAGAGAGAGACACGGGGTGAGAGACACGGGGTGAGAGAGACACTGGGAGAGAGAGAGACACGGAGAGAGAGACACTGAGAGAGAGACACTGAGAGACACAGAGAGAGAGACACTGAGAGAGAGACACTGAGAGAGAGAGACACAGAGAGAGAGAGACACAGAGAGAGAGACACTGAGAGACACAGAGAGAGAGACACAGAGAGAGAGACACTGAGAGAGAGACACTGAGAGAGAGAGACACAGAGAGAGAGACACGGGGCAAGAGAGAGACACGGTGAGAGAGACACTGAGAGAGAGAGAGACATGAGAGGCAGGGAGAGCTGGAAGAGGAGGCCATTAACCATCACCAGGTCTCCTACCGTGAGAGAGCCTGGGGGGAGAGAGACACAGGGTGAGAGACACGGGGTGAGAGAGACACGGGGTGAGAGAGAGACACGGGGAGAGAGAGACACGGTGAGAGAGAGACACACTGAGAGAGACACACTGAGAGAGACACACTGAGAGAGACACGGTGAGAGAGAGACACGGTGAGAGAGAGAGAGACACGGTGAGAGAGAGAGAGACACGGTGAGAGAGAGAGAGACACGGTGAGAGAGAGAGAGACACGGTGAGAGAGAGACACGGTGAGAGAGAGACACGGTGAGAGAGAGACACTGAGAGACACGGTGTGAGAGAGAGAGACACGGTGAGAGAGAGAGACACGGTGAGAGAGAGACACACAGAGAGAGACACTGAGAGAGAGACACGGGGTGAGAGAGACACGGGGTGAGACACGTGGTGAGACACAGAGAGAGAGACACTGAGAGAGACACTGAGAGAAAGAGAGACACAGAGAGAGAGAGACACTGAGAGAGAGAGACACTGAGAGAGAGAGACACTGAGAGAGAGAGACACGGGGTGAGAGAGAGACACGGTGAGAGAGAGGACACGGTGAGAGAGAGACACACAGAGAGAGACACGGGTGAGAGAGACACGGGGTGAGACACAGAGAGAGAGACACTGAGAGAAAGAGAGACACAGAGAGAGAGACACACAGAGAGAGACACTGAGAGAGAGAGACACTGAGAGAGAGAGACACTGAGAGAGAGAGACACGGGGAGAGAGAGACACGGGGAGAGAGAGACACTGAGAGAGAGAGACACTGAGAGAGAGAGACACACGGGGAGAGAGAGAGGCACAGAGAGAGACACTGAGAGAGAGAGACACTGAGAGAGAGAGACACTGAGAGAGAAGGACACTGAGAGAGAGAGACACTGAGAGAGAGAGACACTGGGAGAGAGAGACACAGAGAGAGAGACACTGAGAGAGAGAGAGACACTGAGAGAGAGAGACACTGAGAGAGAGAGACACTGAGAGAGACACTGAGAGAGAGACAGAGAGAGAGAGACACAGAGAGACACTGAGAGAGAGAGAGACACTGGGAGAGAGAGACAGAGAGAGAGAGACACAGAGAGACACTGAGAGAGAGAGAGACACTGGGAGAGAGACAGACACTGAGAGAGAGAGAGACACTGAGAGAGAGAGACACTGAGAGAGAGAGCACTGAGAGAGAGAGACACTGGGAGAGAGAGAGACACAGTGAGAGACACTGAGAGAGAGAGACACAGAGAGAGAGAGACACTGAGAGAGAGAGACACTGAGAGAGAGAGACACAGAGAGAGAGACACACTGAGAGAGAGACACAGAGAGAGAGACACTGAGAGAGAGACACTGAGAGAGAGACACAGAGAGAGAGACACAGAGAGAGAGACACGGTGAGAGAGAGACACAGGGAGAGAGAGACACGGTGAGAGAGAGACACAGGGAGAGAGAGACACAGAGAGAGAGACACGGTGAGAGAGAGACACAGGGAGAGAGAGACACTGAGAGAGAGACACGGGGGGAGAGAGAGACACTGAGAGAGAGAGACACTGAGAGAGAGAGACACAGAGAGAGACACTGAGAGAGAGAGACACAGAGAGAGAGAGACACTGAGAGAGAGAGACACAGAGAGAGAGAGACACAGAGAGAGAGACACACTGAGAGAGAGAGAGACAGAGAGAGAGACACACTGAGAGAGAGAGAGACACTGAGAGAGACACAGAGAGAGAGAGAGACACTGAGAGAGAGACACTGAGAGAGAGACACAGAGAGAGAGACACAGAGAGAGAGAGACACTGAGAGAGAGAGACACGGTGAGAGAGAGACACAGGGAGAGAGAGACACGGTGAGAGAGAGACACGGTGAGAGAGAGACACTGAGAGAGAGACACGGTGAGAGAGAGACACAGGGAGAGAGAGACACTGAGAGAGAGACACGGGGGGAGAGAGAGACACTGAGAGAGAGAGACACTGAGAGAGAGAGACACAGAGAGAGAGAGACACTGAGAGAGAGACACACAGAGAGAGACACTGAGAGAGAGAGAGACACTGAGAGAGAGAGAGACACTGAGAGGCAGGGAGAGCTGGAAGAGGAGGCCATTAACCATCACCAGGTCTCCTACCGTGAGAGAGCCTGGGGGGAGAGAGACACGGGGGGAGAGACACGGGGAGAGAGAGACACGGGGTGAGAGACACGGGGTGAGAGAGACACGGGGTGAGAGAGAGACACAGAGAGAGAGACACGGGGAGAGAGAGACACGGTGAGAGAGAGAGAGACACTGAGAGAGAC